AAAATTTTCATCCTATGTCCAAAGTCGTGTTTATTTTAATAACCCTCTCAAATTATACAAGTCTTATGCAGATAAAAAATTATCTTATAAAAATGTCTAAAATGTAAATAATTAAAAGCAGTTTTTTACACACAAATGAGTATAGGTAAAACTTGGGAAATCTAAATAAGATTGGTGCATTGTATCAACGTCAATATCCTGGCTCTAATATTGTGCTATCACAGTTGTGTAAGATGTTATCACTGGGGGAAGTGGGGAAAGCGTACACAGGCTCTCTGTGTATTATTTCTTACAGCTGCTTGTGAATCTACAGTTACCTCATTTGGAAACTAGCCTGAGCTAGAGGTGGCATTTTGTTGTCCCTGAAGCCGAGAAGCAAAGCTGAATTGGCTTTTTAAGAAACTTTTTTTAAAGAAACATTAATTTTGGAACCCATTTGTAGAATCTACTGAGTTTCTATTTTGTCAGTCATAATGGACTTGCATTTATAAAGTGCCTTTGAACATTAGAAAACTATTCCCATTGCTAGATATACACAACCAAAGGCAGTCAACATTAGTGAGAATATTTATAAAATCTAAAGGAATAAAAAACAAAATTTTTCCCTTAGTTAAAAAAAAGGTAAAGCTACAACATAAAATTTGATAAGCTGATATCAGGAGATTAAATCTAAGATATTAATTCATATATACTTTCATTCACTTCTTTAATAAACTTTTGTTGAGGACCTAGAATGTGCTAAACACTGTGCTAAGGACTAGAAGAACAAAAGTGAGCACAGGATCCTTCACAGTTTAATGGAGGAAGACATAACATGAGACCCAACATGTATACAATTTCTATTCCTTCCCTGTGACTTTACACGAACACAAAAAGTCACTGGTTTTAAACCTAAGACTCTTCTTGCATGTTCTTCTAATATTAAAGATTCCGTCATAGAAAGCCTCCTCTGGCATTTTATCATTTTCTTTGTAATCACTAATATATTCTCTCATTTTTAGAGATTCTATTCAAAATAAGGCCAAGTGAACAAATGCCTTACCCCAAATACTTCCAGTCCAATCCATCTTTTCAGCACACACATTGTTTAATGGCTCCATCTTGGCAACTTCGGCCTGATGCTGTGCGAAAGCTAGCTGACCAACACCAAAAGACAACCATGAAAGGGTGTTAGTGGAAGGTTATGCCTACACATCCAAAAAGCCCTAGAGTTCGGTGTGTCTTTACCATTCATCTAAACCAGATTGTTTAAAATTTTTTAATAGAAAAAAAAACATTATTTTTAAAGAGTACCTATTTTCAGCTCATGGAAAAGTACAGTCTTAGTGCAACAAGGATAAAGAACTAACTACAATTGCCTTCTTTATAATTAATTATAAGAAAAGAACACTTTACTAAAAAGATTGCTCTAAATGGGTTATAGTCTTCTTTTATTATGCATTAATGCTTTAAAATTTTAAAACCCTCCACCTTTTAATACCTTATATAAATACATCCAATTCCATCCCAAACTGAAGAGAAAACTGATGATTAAAACACGTCTTAACTGGGTGTACCAACGTACATATGTCCACAGCTCGGTAGCTACTAATACCACGATGCAGAGCAGACACAGAAGTACCTCGAAAACAGAAGGCAGAGATCAGGGTCACTATAAGCTGTCCTCCCACCATAAAACACTAGTGGTCACTCCAAACAAAAGAACTGGACTCAAATATACAAAATCATTTGTACTACTATGCTGCTTGCTCATCAATACAGTGTGAGTGACTTAGTACAGGCTCTTAACGTAATTACGGTGGAGTTTTCAAAGTATTTCAAAAAAGAAACTTAACCACGTTGCCCTCATCCCACCTTACCATTAACACATTATATGGATCCACTCCAAAGGAATCTTCAAATCGCCACTTCCATGTTTCAAAATCATGAAACTTAAAATTAATTAAAATATCACTCAGTACATCATCCAAGGCACCTGGTTTCCAGTCTTCTCCACTAAGAAACTTCTGTATTTCTAACAAGGTTTGTCTTTTAAGGATAATCTCAGCATCATAATGCATAGCGTCTTTGCTTTCATCAGGCTAAATTAAATTTACCAAAAAAACAAACAACAGAAAGATAATTTTATAATTACATTACATTAAACATTTTAAGACAAAAGCCAATTTGGAACTAAATATTAATATATAATTAGTTTGCAATATTTCATACATATAAGAATAATATCCACTTCTCTGTCTCATAGGCCAACATGAAAACCAAAGATGATATATGTGAAAAACATTTAAAAATTACTATAAATTTTACTAAAAATTTATGATTCTTGCTATTCGCAGTAGTTATATTCTATAACGTTACCTTGGACACTAATTAGCAAGTACTGAATCATTACTCCTACAGAAAATATAGGGTTTGGTTCCTGCAAACCTCTGGTCATAATATTTTCATCAACTGATCAATACATAACCTTGTTTTATGCATGTTCTGTATGTTTCTGTTAAAGGACAACTTATTAAATATATATATTGTTGATTCAATAACAATGACCACATGGCCAACAGTTCTATAATTCATACCTGAATGAAGCCTATCTAAAACACACATTTTCTCTGTAAGGCATTTTACAGCCTTCTTACATTTAGGAACCCTAGCTGTCATATTAATCTAGGTTCTCTGAGTTTAAAAAAAAAAGGAACACTAGATGGCAGTTCAGCACTACATTTGGGGGCCATTTTAGACAACAAAGTCACCATCTTCCCTGCAAAAAAGCAGAAAAAAATAGACCACTAGATAGACGGCAAAAAAAGACACTTGTTTGCGGTTTGAAAGCCAAAACAAGAAAGTACAGTTTCAGTTGCCTTGTTCCACCCTCAGCCCGTGTATCAGGCAACACATTTTTTGGCACTCTGCACATGTCCAAGAATGACCACAAAAACACCCTGAGTATTTTGATTTTGAGGTTACAAAGAAACTTTAATGAGGAGGTAAATTCATAAATTTGCAAATAATGAGGATCAACTGTGTATCTTTATTTTATGATTCACTTTTTCACTTTTCATTTGCTGCCAGTTTTCAGATAGCCTAAAATTTGCAGTAGTTCAAACAACAACAACAGCAAAAGGGAACTCAAAAAGTAACAAAATAATAGGTTTCCATAAATACATAATACTCATAACTATTAATGTGAGTTCAGCTTAGGAAAATCACTGTAAACAACACTTTGCATTCATTAATCAGTTGATACAACTAAGAGAAAATTCCTTTTTCTTTTACAAGAGTAAATACAGATAGAAAAAAGTAAATATAAAATGGGAAAAACCAAAATGTCACATAGTATCAGTAAGCATTAAAATAGCCATCATTAATATTGATAAATATTTTTTAAAAATCAGGAACTAAGTATTGCCAAGCTTTTCCATCTTGAGTATTTGTGGCTTCATCTGTTTCCTTATCTAGGTTCTTTTCCACCCTGCACACAGCTATAAGACTCAAATTAGAGGATGTACCTATGAGAACATCTGCTTTTACACTTCCAGAATAAAGTGGTTTATAAAATTACCCATCTAATACTCCTTTCCCTTTTGGTCATTTCTTACTGTACCAGGAGGATCGGAGTCTAGCAAGTTCCACCAACCTGCCTTCTGTTGATGCAAGAGCCTTTCTATTTTCAGGGATCTGACTGTTGACTGCTTCTAGTGGTTGGGGCTAATGGCCAGACCAAAACAAAAGTCTGGCCTCTAACTTTCTAGACCAATTCTGGTAGCATGCGCGATAGGAAAAAGAAAAAAATCTATGAGCTTTTAAATGAGCTTTATAAATGTTGTAAGTTACTAAATTATAAGTTTCCTTGATGCTTTCACTCCCAAAAGTGAAAATGGTATTCTAAAAAATGGAAATTTTAACATTAATTGTGAACAATATGCTCATGATACACAATTCTGTAAAGCAACACTTGCCAAAGTAAACAGCAAGGAGAAAAAAACTACATAAAACACATTTTTTCTTTTCCTCAATGTATAATTATCTTACATTATATGACTACGAAAGTATGGAAATGGTATAAAACAAGAAGGAGGGTCAGGACAGAATTATCACCCTACCTCCTCACCTCAATTTAGTGGTAAAGCAGTGCACAGGGTTAGATAAGTAAATCCCCACAAACTGTAAGAAAAAGAAGAGTGGTCTGCACTGATTGCGTTCGACCAAACCACTGCAAAGCAGGCTAGTACCTTTAATCCTGTCTGCATAGCTTTTGGTAAAAAAAAAAAAAAATTAAGTCAGGTAGTCTCTGTTAAAGCATAATGATGCTATTTCTTTATATAATTTGAAATTAATAAATAATGAAATATCCACTATACAGATTAATAACACACCATCAAATACTCACAAGTCCAAGCTTTCCAGCTTCAATTAAAATCTTATTTAAGTATCTCCTAAAAACAGGATTGCTTTGACTCTCATAGTCTTTCCTCTTTTTCTTTTCACACTCATCAATCTGTAATCATACAATAAATTCAACACTAGTTAGCATCAGAGTTTAATGTAAGGGTCAAGTTTTTAGCCTAGTGGTGCCATCAAAATCAAGGTAAGGAGCTAATTGTTTTTATCCAGCTTGCATTTATCAGCTACATTACAGTGTACAGTTTGCCTACTTCCCATGTGTTCTCTTTGCAAAGAGCAAGTAGGCAACAAATAAAAAACACATGTCCAGTACTTAGTCCTGTTTAGAAAAACAGACCTGGCAGTTTTTCTGTTGACTTTCAGCAATTTCAAAGCTGAAGATCATGAAGCAAGGAGGCAGAGATCCACAAACAGAGCATCTGGACTAATTTGCTGCTTTCTAATTCCAAAGCATCGATATAACAAGAGAAAAGGAGGAGGGAAGGAAGGGAAGGAAGGATAAATACACATAGAAACAAAGAGATGGAGAAATACAGACAAGATAAAGCCAGAAGATAAAATGAAGGACACAGCAAAAAATTTCTTAAATGTGCGTAGTACTTTTGGCCTTTTATTAATTTTTTCATCAGCAATTAATCGTCCCATACTATATGGAATGCTCAGGAAGGCAGGAACAGTAGCTTCTCCAGAGTATCCAACACATGGTAACCCTTCGGTACATAATTCTGCATTAGAGCAGACTTCCTCTGAACTCAGCTCTCCCACCACCACAGCGGTCAAGTTGCTGGGTGAAGGTAGTAGATAGTTACAAACGTTAAAATAACTGTGTGATAACTCGTATTTTAACTGCGTGTGAGCCCTCAGTTGAGTTGGACACTGAAATGGGCTTCGGTTGATAAACATGACAGTAACTGAACAGCACACACAGAATTAGTCAGTATAGAAGGACATTCAAGAAGTCACACAGCAGTTTCCTCTGCTTTCAGGCAAGGTTTGTAAGTCATTTATTTTTTAAATCTTAAGGAAACAACTTTTTTTAAAAAAACAAGAACTCAAGACTCCATTTTGCCAATCATGTTTTTCACAATGTTTAAACCAAAGTCGAAAACAATGGAATAAAAAATTTCTGTAAAAAGGCATTTCTGGATTTCTTACTGTGAAACCAGACTAGCTCACTGTATCACAATACACAAAGTGAAGCAAATTTTATCCAAGCATTTCTTTGCTAGCACTTACGTGAGACAATATTCGCATTTAATAAAAACCACAAGCAGGTGATTATAGATCTTGATTGGGATATTTCTGGGTTTCAATTAACAAACTCTCCCAGTCTCTCCAGCTAGGAACCTCACCCATTCACTCTGGCTCTTCCCTATCCCTTATCCCTGCCTTCCCTCAGCCATCCACATTTGCCTATTCTACCTTGTAAAAGTTTAACACTTGCCTCTTATCTTCAACCCGTCACTGCCTCATTTTGAGCCTTCAGCACTGCTGGACATCTGTAACCCCCGTTGATCTCACTGCCACCCTGCTCTCCATTCCAGGGCCCCTCTACACTGCTACCAGTCCACTCTGCCTACACAACCAACGGAGGGTGGTTCCCACAGCAAATAATGAATACATTCAAATCCCTTAACCTTGACTTATTTCCTTTTGTATAAACCCTACTTCAGCCACATTAAAAGGATTGGATAAATGAAGGAATGATAGCTATTACACACTAAATTTTAATAATCCTTTATATTTGTAAGAGTAACTCTTACAAGATGGTAATAGGCCCATTTCTTCATTTGCTATATTTGTTGAGAGTCTACAATGCCCCAGCACTGTGATAGGTGATGAAGAATTAAGATGAATAAAACATATTCCTTGCACCAAGAAATTTACAGTCTGGTAAAGAAATAATTATAACATAGTGAGATAAATGTTATTACAGAAAAATACAAGAATACAAGGTACTATTAGAGAAACCAAGGCTAGAGTAACTAAGAAAAACCAAGGCTGGAGTAACTAAAGAAAAATTTTATATATATAAATCATATCATACACAAAAACACTAGAAATAATATTAGCAAA